AATGCCCTTTCTTGACCAAATAAAAAATTGCTAAACCTATCTTGGCTTCCCAATTTAAAAATTTATTGGCTGATGAAATCTAAAAGCCTGGAAATCAACAATTTATAGGGCCAGTAAAGAACAAAAAAATGAAAATTTGAGAAGTAACTGATGGAGCAAGGTCTTAAAGGGATTCAGCTCTAGAATACAGGGAGCAGTTAGATTTGGAGAACAGAACAAAAGCTAAGTATAGAAGGGATTATGACCAAGTAGAGATGATGGTGAAAAAAGCTTCTCTGGTAACTAAAAATCAAGGTCATCTGAGTTCAAAATAAGCCTGGTAATGTTAATAGAAGACATAATTATTAATGTAGAATAGTGAAGATTTGAACAACTTTTGTGAGGAATGAGAAAAATAAATAAATCCAGGAATGGGCTAACAGAATAGAAAAAGAGAGAATTTCAAAACTAAATCAATGTTTAGTGGCAGTAAAAATGTACCAGAATGTGAGATTTTGGTCAGAGGTAAAATTTCTGAATTTAGGGTCTCAAAGCCAGAGTAAAGGGTCATTCATTGATGGTAAAGATGATAATGATAATAACCATTCATTGAGTATATTACAAAATTAATTGTATCTAGTCATAACCACTGGTATCACCATATCACAGAGAAGAAAACTGAGGCCCTAATTAATTTTCAGTAAAAAGTTAAGTTTTTCATACAACTTGACAAGAGGACTCAAATTCACAGAGTAGTAAAAGGGTCAGACATTCTCAATGCAATTTGAAGAAAACAGGTGGGGAAGCTTATCTTGCTAGATATTAACACTTATATAGTTGTAGTAATTATGACAGTATGGTATTGTTATAGAGGTTATACAAATACAGCAATGGAAGAGAATAAGCAACCCAGGGATGTTTAGAAACCTGATTTGAGATAAGTGACATTACAAACCACAAAAACAAGTTTAACTCTTCAATAAATGGTGCCAGAACAATTAGCTGTTTGTATGTAAAATAATAACAAATGAGAGTAGACCCCTTTCTCAAGCACAAAAAGTAAATACTGGGTAGAGTAAAGCCCTAATATGAAGACTATAAGTTTAAAAGTTTTAGCAAAAACACAGATGAATACGTTGTGATTTAGGGGTAGAAAAAGATTTCTTAAACAAGACTCCCAGAACACAAATTATAAAGAAAGAGACGAATAAATTTGGCTACACCCAAACAAATTTCAGTATTAAAAAAAGACATACATGGCCAGGCACAGTGGCTCACGCCTGTAATCCCAGCACTTTGGGAGGCAGAGGCAGGTGGATCATGAGGTCAGGACTTCAAGACCAGCCTGGCCAATATGGTGAAACCTCATCTCTACTGAAAATACAAAAATTAGTCAGGTGTTGTGGCGGGCACCTGTAGTCCCAGCTACACCAAAGGCTGAGGCAGGAGAATCACTTGAACCTGGGAGGTGGAGGTTGCAGTGAGCTGAGATCACGCCACTGCACTCCAGCCTAGGCAACAGAGACTGTCTAAAAAAAAAAAAAAAAAAAAAAAGATATTCACTAGAAGATAAGCAACAGGAAAAGATAAGCAACGAATGTAACCAACAAGGTAATATTTTCCAGAAAACATGTACCAGTGAAACTGATGAACAAACCAGTAGCACAGTGGGCAAAGATGTCAAGAGAAGTCTAGTAGGCATTTGGAATTAGACTCCTAGAATTGAGATTGCCTAAAGAAATCTGGGCTGGAAATAGAGATTTGGGCTATATCAACTTAATGATCATATTTGAATTTGGGGCACTGGATGACCTAATGGGATAAAAGCACGAAAGAAATAAAAGTCTTGGGCCTAGCTAGGACAGGCAGAGGATTAGTGATCCTCACTCAAGTGCTTGAGAGTAAATAATGACTCCTTTAACTGTATTTACATATTTACTTTATCTTGACTTTTCTGACCACAGTTTATGTCTTTTAAAGATGGAGTCTAAAAACACTATCTCATAAGGTGATCAGATAAGCCTATTACTTCTATTTAGAGCAATGTTATCTTTAGACCATGTTTCATGTGCAGCCAAGAAGGCAGGATTGTGGAAATTAAATACAAATATAAATGAAAACAGGAGTTAAATTTTAAGTAAAGGGAATTTAAGAAAATATTCCTTTTAAGTGGATAAGATTTTTTAAATTGGTGGAGTTAGGAATTATCTCCTTTTATACATTTGCATAGCTCATGTAATGCATCAGAATACCTAATATATGATCCACACCTGTTCTCTGAATTTCAAGGCCTCCCAAAAAAGTTTTATCCGTATAGACTTGCATTCACTACATTTTTTCTACTTGAAAATAACAAACCAGCTATTCAAATAAACTGCTAAGAGGAAGGAAGCCAGCCATAAAAAATTACGTACTGTAAAATTACTTCTATGTGAGGGTCAAAAACATGCACAGCAATACAGAATAATAGTAATGGTGGTCGATGTGGTTAGAAGGGGCACTTTTTAAAAACGCCTCTGTTGAACATTCTATGTATTGATGTGGATGTTGGTTACCTGGAACTGTACATTTGGCACTTGAGCATTTTACTATGTTATACCATTGAGGTATGTATTTTTTAATTCTTTAAAGAAAAACTGCTTGGAAGTCTTATTCTTAACGCACAACAATCACAAACATTAAAATTATACAGTCCAGAGAATGTAAAGTTGCTTTAAAAAATTCCTTTTCTCAGTTTAAAATACCAAGGGGAAAAATGAAAACACAGCATGTCTTGCCCTTGTCAAGATGACAGATCCTCTAAGAGAAGAAACGAATAGGTAATGGCCTTTTCCAAGATTTTCTTCCCCTAATGCACCCCACTTCCAACCTACCCCTACCTCAACTAGGGTATCCAGTTGTACCCAAAGGTGCTTCTACATTAGATCCACAGAGATTAAAGATAACAGCTAACAGAATAGTCCAGAGGACAAGGATATTCAAGTTCCATCATCTTCAGGATAAAAAAGCTCCAGGGTTTACCCCCAAACTTAAAGCTCTCTAAAGGAAATCCATCAACCTTTTAAACATCACTTTGTATATATCATGTTCTGTACTGCTCTAGCTCAAAAACATGAACATGTATCTAAACATCTTTGTAGCATTTCCATTGTAAATTTTACTTTAACAATTTTGAACATGTTATAATGATAGAAAATTATTTAATCTAGATTTCGGTCAACTCTATTACTGACAGTTATTCTTTTTTAGTGAAGGACAATCACAAACACTAAATTTATACAGTCCAGAGACTAAAAGATTGCTTTAAAAAATTTCTTCCTTTTCTCACTATAAAATAAAAATACCAAGGGGAAAAATAAAAAGTATTTATTATAACTGGCTGTTACATTGTCATACACAATGAAACACTGGACCATGAGCAGTTCGTTATTACATGTTGTTAGTTAAGTGTAGAACTGTAAATAATGAGGCACGTTATTAAGATACCACAAACATTATCCAATCAGCAAGTGCACGACTTCGGACATTTTGACTTCAGCCAAAATATGAAACAAAGTCATAGAAAGAAAGTTATTTCAAGGGACTGAAATTTTCTTCTCCTACCCTTCAAATCTTTTAGAGATATTAATAAAAACAACTATCCAGCCTGGGTGGATATAATGGGACTCCATCTACATACACACAAAATTTTTAAAAATTAGTTGGGTGTGGTAGCACACACCTGCAGACCCAGCTACTTGGAAGGCTGAGGCAGAAGGATCCTTTAAGCAGGAGTTAGAGGCTGCAATGAGCTATGATCTCACCACTGCACTACAGCGTGGGCGATAGAGCGCGACCTTGTAACAACAACAAAAAAATTAAAACCTTCAGGAATACTTTAGATCAAGCTTGCCCAACAGGATGGCTTTGAATGCCACTCAGTGCAAATTTGTAAACTTTCTTAAAACATTGAGATTCTTTTTTAAAAGCTCATTAGCTACTATTAGTGTTAGTGTATTTTATGTGTGGCCCAAGACAATTCTTCTTCTTCCAGTGTGGCCTAGGGAAGCCATAACGTTGGACCCCCTGCTCTAGACTTTAGCAGAAGCCTTGCAACATAAAGAAAACAGTACATGGGACTTTAGACTCTTTGTTTTGTTTTTCTTTTTTGAGACGGAGTCTTACTCTGTCGCTCAGGCTAGAGTGCAGTGGCACATTCTCGGCTCACTGCAACCTCCGCCTCCCTGGTTCAAGCGATTCTCCTGCCTCAGCCTCCCAAGTAGCTGTGACAGGCACCCGCCACCGCGCCCGGCTAATTTTTGTATTTTTAGTAGAGACGGGGTGTCACCATCTTGGCCTGGCTGGCCTCGAACTCCTGACCTCGTGATCCACCCACCTCGGCCTCCCAAAGTGCTGGGATTACAGGCGTGAGTCACCACGCCCGATCGGCTTTAGATTCTTTTACCACTTTCCCTAAGGGAAAGGAAGTGAAAATATCTAAGGAAGGACTACTACGAATCTTCTCTGAGTGGCAAAAACCAGAAAAGGTTTTGGAGCCAGGACTGCAGTTAAGTTGCCAAGGGGCAGAGATGTAAGCAGTTCCTGGTTTAGTTAAAATATTTTAATTTTTATTTTTTTAAGCCTGGCTTTTGGGGTGAAAGAGTAAACTTAGGCACAGGGGTCTGGGTAGGGCGAGGATACTCATGGACGAGTATGCAACCCTAGGGCCACAGAACCCAAACTGTAGGGGAAGAGGCGGGGCGAGAGGGGACGAAGTGGAGACAGCAAGAGACTCACTTTTGAAAGGCACTTTCCGGTTAGAAAGCACTCTCACATGCTTAACTCATCGTACACAGTATCCTTCCTGCGGGTCTCCAGCACCTACAGACGTTAAAGGCCCAACAGGGTGGCCACCTTCATACAAGATTGCGAGGAGGGCCTAGCTACCCGCCGGTTCCCGCGGCTCGGCAGTCCGCTGCGAGCGTACGTCACTCGCCCTCCGCCAATCGGCGCCCGGCAGGTCACCTCTCCTCCCAGGGCCCGCCGCCCCGCCCGCCGCCCAGGCCCAGGCCGCGAGTGCCCGCCGGCCGCTTCCGCTCTCGGCGCAGGCGCTGCAGCTTGGCCAGAACGGAGGGGGCTCAGGAGAGGAGTGGACGCCGCTGGCCAGGATGGTGCTGGAGAGCGTGGCCCGCATCGTGAAGGTGCAGCTCCCCGCATATCTGAAGCGGCTCCCAGTTCCTGAAAGCATTACCGGGTTCGCTAGGCTCACAGGTAATCCTCCCCGATCAGCCAGTCCCCATCCTTGCACGCTCGCCAAGCGGGGGAAGGAGGCGTAAAAATCCTAGGGCCAAGGGGCGGAACGGAGTTCGGCGCCTGGCACGTGATCCCCGCGCGCAGAGGAAGGTGGGCGCGCGCAGGCGCAGCTGTCTGGGGAACGCCTGTGAGGCTGCCTCCAGGTGCTTGAAGTGCCAGAGTCTTTTGTCCTCGGAGTTGTCTCCGGTGTCATTCCGTGGCAAGATACCAGGTTTTTGCAGAGAAGGTGCTAGAAGGTGCTGAGTTGGGAGCAGGCCAGTCTCTTTCATCTCCTGCCCTGCTCATCGCTCTCTGTAGCGTACTTGTTTATTTTAAAGCGAGATAAGTCGTCGTTATCTAAGGCCTCATGTAACAGGCAGCCCCAGCTATCGGTTGGGTTGTAGCCTCAGCGTGTGGGTTGGGTGGGAGTGTGTGGGAGAGAAATGTAGACTTACACGTAACACGTATATGACCGTTTTATTTAATTACGAAATTAGGAGATAACCTCCATTCCCTCAGGTTAGAATTGACCTATCATGGGGGTATTTGAGGTCACCTCCGTTTCTAGGTCCCGGGGCCTGCTGAGGGAACTTAAGTTGGAAGAAAGGTACCTTACCCAAGAAAGTATTCGGAGGCCAGTATGGGGGTGAAATCTTAGAAAATGAATTTTAGTGAATATATGTAACGTTCTATACTTAAGGGCCCTCACTTAACCCACAGAACTCATGAGGATTTCACATCTAAAGGATGAAAATCTCCAGAATGCAGTCAGCACTCGGGAGATGGTGTTGAGTTACAAGCATTTCATTGTTAAAAGGGATATTTCTAAACGGAACTCAGACCGATGGTGAAGACATCAACAAGTATTGAACTCCTGTGTCCTAGGTTATCAGGGAGTGCAAACATTAATTAAGATAATTCTGAGGTAAATAGGGTTGCTTCGCCGCGAACGTTCTAAAGATCCATAGTACCTGACCTAAAATACAGCAATCGCACCGCTGTCTGGTAGAAGAAAAATAAGATTTGTGTAGACTAAAATATAGAACTGATACCAAATTAACCAAATTAGTGAAGGTTATTGGGAGGTGAATTTCAGTCTAAGGAAGCTTTTTTTTTTTAATTAAAGAATGCTTTCCCCAAACAAATGTGGTGCTTTGGTAATAGCCCCTCTCAAAGATGAAGAAAACAAACAAAAAGACTCTGGTGGTGGGTGGTCGATAGATTTAGAAGGGATAAACTAGATGACAAATTCTCTTCCAAATCTAGAGATCAATAGAATTATGCTCAGACAGCCGCTCTGTTGAGTGGATTGTGAGATTTTAATATTTTTTAAATATTAAGAGTTTTAGTAGAAAATATGCAATTGAATAGAAAGCATGGCAACAATAAACATTAAAAAGGAACATCTAAACATCAGAAGCAATGCAAAAGTAAAATAAAATGAAAAACGTTTCACATCAAGTGTTTATAAACATCAAAATCTTTTGATCCTACCAGTTTACTCTGACAGAATTGCAGCAATTCCATACAATTTTGACTTTCCCCACTTCTTTTACTTAAGTAACTTACATATTTTAATGTAATCCTCATTTTTTCCCTGACAACTAAATGCTGATTTTAATTTTAACGTCACAATGGGCCTAACTATTCATTCCCTTACAACTGGAAATTAGAAATGTTTCTATTTTTTAAAATTCACTATGTAATAGTTCATTGGCAAGTAAGCAAATACCAGTTGTCATATTTCTCCCTTTTGGATGTCTTCACTTAAATAGCAATACCAGGCCAAAACGGTATTGACCTGGTTTTTGTGACATTTGTACCCTTTTGTCAACTTACCTTCTTACTAATTTGCATAAGTTAACTGTTGAGTTTTTAACGGTCAAGAAAGGAAAACGTCCAGTGAATTACGTATATTTTTTCCAGATGGTGGCTGCATTTATATTAGTTTCAATTTTCTGTAAATCAAGTATAATTGAAGAAAATTAGAAAGTATGAAACTAGATTTAATGGCTAGATTTTAGAAGTGTGCTTTCTTTTCTCGAGGATCCCTAGTGTCAACAAATATTTAATTCCTATTAAAGACATTAAGAAAACTCAACCAAAACTTTTTCCCTCTTAAATCAAGAATATATAGTAACTTCCTCTTTAAAGTTGTTAAATATTTAATATGAAGACTGATTCTCAGAAATAATGACCATTCTGAGAAGTATTTTAATAACATACATTTAACTTAAGTCCCATTACAATGTGGCTATAGGTAATAGTTCTCATTTTATTGCTGGTTTGTTTAGGAAACATGAACATACCTGTAATAACTGGTTTATGAAAAAAGAGATAGCCCTTTTTGGATTGGACGAAACAATTGCAGGGTTTATTTTGGAGTATTATAGAAGAAAAATTTCAGTGGCTACTTTCGACTCTTGGTCTCCCATTCTGAATAGATTGTAGTAGTTAATGACATTTGGCTTTCTTAAATGAGTTACATGTAGAATCCATAATGTAGACTTTTGTTAAAATAAAAACCTGGAAGACAACTTTTTAGCAATTGTTTAAAGTGTCTAGGAGACCAAAAAATATTTCCATTTTCTTTTATGAAAATTGGAGCAAAAAACAGTAGAGTTCACATTATTATTGCCTACATTTCCTTCCCTGTTGAAATTAGCTTTTTTTTTTTTTTTTAAGCAATTGACTCTTTTATGATGACTCTGCATTCTTAGAAAACACATGGAGATCTTTAATGACCATATACTAGTTAAGTACAGGCAATTCTTACCTATCAGAAACAACTTATCTATCTTTGTTTGTCACATTTTCAAGAGTGAGGCGTTCAAGATAAATTATTGTGAGTATCTAATTTATGTTTAATTTAGGTTTTTGTTTTGTTTTGTTTTTTGAGAGGGAGTCTCTGTTGCCAGGCTGGAGTGCAGTGTCAGCTCACTGCAACCTCTGCCTCCTGGGTTCAAGCAATTCTTATGCCTCAGCCTCCTGAGTAGCTGGGACTACAGGCGTGTGCCACCATGCCTGGCTAATTTTTTGTATTTTTAGTAGAGATGGAGTTTTACCATGTTGGCCAGTCTCGTCTTGAAACTCCTGACCTCAGGTGATCTGCCTGCCTCGCCCGCCCAAAGTGCTGAGATTACAGGTGTGAGCCACTGCGCCCAGCCCTACCTTAGGTTTTAAGTGGTAATAGTAAAGCCATGCATTAAATGTATTTTATCTTTTCAATAGTTAATAAATAGAAATAATTTCTGTGTTTAGCTACAAATGATAAATGAGAAAATACGTTATAAAATAACCAGCAACCAAGCTGCCAGTGTTATTTTTATGGTATCATAAGATGATATGGCTATATTATATGTAGATGTTTGAAAATTTGAAATGGAAAATTTCTGTTCTAGTTCTATGGAATGTAATTCCTCATTGAGATCTGAGTTTGTCTATGGGTACATTAAAAAAATGTTTTAATAATAGTATTTATATGTCTTGAATAGGTGTTATAGCTAGCCTGTATCATTATATATAATAAAAGGTTAAACCTAATTCTGTTTCCCGAAGGAGATACTTCGTTTTAACCGTGTCTAAACTTTCAGAAAATTTATGTTAAAATTGCTAGCTACCATATTAGTCCGTTTTCATACTGCTATAAAGAACTGTGCAAGAATGGATAATTTATAAATGAAAGACATTTAATCCACTCACAGTTCAGCATGGTTGGGGAGACCTCAGTAAACATACAATCATGGAGGAAGGTGAAGGGAAAACAAGGCATTTTCTTCACATCATGGCAGGAAGAAGTAGTGCCGAGCAAAGGAGGAAGAGCCCCTTATAAAACCATCAGATCTCATGAGAACTCACTTAGTATCACAAGAACAGCATGGGGGAAACCACACCCATAATCCAATTACCTCCACCTGGTCTTTCCCTTGACACGTGGGGATTATAATTCAAAATGAGATTTCAGTGGGGACACAAAGCCTAACCAAATTAGCTATTCAAGTTGCTTTGAAATTTTCTTTTCTGACTAGATTTTGGCTTTCTTTTTTGAAAAAGGGTTTCACTCTGTTGCCTAGGCTGGAGTGAAGGTGGCATGATCTCGACCCACTCACTGCAGCCTCGACTTTGCAAGCTCAAGCGATCCTCCCACCTCAGCCTCTTGAGTAGCTGGTACTACAAGTGCATGCCACCACATCTGCCTCATTTTTTTGTATCTGTTTTTAGAGGCGAGGTTTTGCCATGTTGCCCAGGCTGGTCTTGAACTCTTGAGCTCAAGCTATCCACCCACCTCAGCCTCCCAAAGTGCTGGAATTACAGGTGTGAGCCACTGCGTGTGGCCTAGATTTTGTTTCTCTGTTGGTGCTGGTTCTTTCATTCTTCCTTTTTGGTCCTGTTATTTATCTTAATAGTGGGATACGTGGACGGCTGAGGCAAGATAATTGCTTGAGTCGTGGCACTGCATTCTAGCCTAGGTGGCAGAGCGAAACCATCTCTTAGAAAAAACTGGATAGCATTAGGAGATATAACTAATGTAAATAACAAGTTAATGGGTGCAGCACACCAACATGGCAGATGTATACATATGTAACAAACCTGCACATTGTGCACATGTACCCTAGAACTTAAAGTATAATAATAAAATTTTTTTTTATATGGGACCCAAAAGTCATTATGAATATTAGGTCCTTGCTCAGTATTGAGCTTGTTAAGAAGATGAACAACTCATATTTAAAAACTGGCAAAACAGGCCAGGTACAGTGGCTCATGCCTTTAATCCCACCACTTTGGGAAACTGAGGCGGGCAGATCACTTGAGGTTGGGAATTCGAGACTAGCCTGGTCAACATGGTGAAACCCCATCTCTACTAAAAATACAAAAATTAGCTGGGTGTGATAGTGCACACTTGTATTCTCAGCTTCTCAGGAGGCCAAGGCAGGAGAATCATTTGAACCCAGGAGGCGAGGTCGCAGTGAGCTGAGATT